ATGTAAGGAACACAAACGGATCGTGAATACAGGCAAATTCAGCCACATATCAGCTGACACTTAAATGGTAGATGAATTGTAAATATTCTATTTTGTTGTGCTGCAAGTAAAATATTATTTTACAGGAGTGCCAAAAAATAAATATATAATGTTGTCACCAAAGCCAAGTATTTCTCATTCGATTAAGGGCTTGCATGAAATCGTACCCTAACCATAACCCAAACCATTCAAACAAAGCACTTAACCCCAGTAACAAAACTGGGTGCCAAACGCTACCCCTAACCTTACACGAAAGCTAACCATTTGAAATAAATGCTTAACCCTAATCACTAAAATGACTAAAATGTGAGTTTATTTTACACCGTATTTTAGACCGAGTTAAGTGTTAAAAATTACAAACCAGTTTGAAAAATTGAAACTAGTTTAAAAAAATTCAAACCAAAGGTTAAATTTGAACCACAACATATATTCTTTTTATTTCATGACTAATTTAGTAGCAGATTGTAACTCTCTGACCTATGCCATATAAGCCTCTGGCTTTGGCATCTCATTATCATTAACTTGTGCATAACTATTATCAAAGATTAAAGATTAAGGATTAATTAAAGATTAATTCAACAGGACATAGTTGTCAATCTTAAGGTGTCCAGCTCATTTTTTTTTTTTGTAAAGAAAAGGTTCTCTGTGAGAAATGCTATCACAAGTTCTGTACAGTAACATACCTTCAGATGACAGGTCAGTTCTTTCAGCTCAATATTTTGTCTTTTTCTGGCATCCTTTAGTACTTTACGAGAAAACGCTTTCTCCTGTTCTCTGATCTAGACATTCAATGAGTAAGATCTATTCAGTGTCCATGGAATGAGGAGAGGTCAGTATGGAAGTGAGTAAGAGACTTTATCCTATAACCTGAACCACCTTGTTCCATAGGAAACCATAGTGAAAGCTGATGTGAGCAGGGCTGGTCAGGAAAAAGCTGTCCGGTGTCTTAGTGGACATAGACTCGTAGGTTCCAATAGGTTCTTATATCTTAGTTACTTTTGCCATACTTTTATCTTATGATATTGTGAAGCGCGACTGAATATATTCATATAGGGGTCTGTGCTATATAAATGTAAATTATTATTATTATTATTATTATTATTATTATTATTATTTGAACCCCCCTCAAATTTGGACTCCCAGTCCAAATCCACTAACGGATATAGTCCCCTCTCTGTGAATTTGGACCCCCTCAACAAAACTGAGTGAAAACATCATCCTTTAACTTCCCAAGTGAAAACAGTAAGAACTAGGGTTTAAGTTTAGGGTTAAGGTTAGTTATATGGTTAGGATTTTGGGATTTAGGGTTAGGGTTAAGGTTAGAGATAAGGTTAGAGATATGGTTAGGATTTTGGGGTTTATGGTTAGGGTTAATGTTGCTTAGGGTTATATGATACAAATGATGCTTAAAAGGAAACTTTGGTTAAGGGGGGTCTAAATCTGCAAAGGGCGGTCCATACCTACTAATGGATTTGGACCAGGGTGTCTAAATACACAGCAGGTCCAAATTTGCTGTGACACCAGCCCTGCTACCCTTATGTCACTTTGTTGCAAAAACTTAAAAGAAAACAGAATGAGAAAAAAGTTGCATTTTTCAAGGAATTGGGAGTTTCTTGTTCTGACTTGAAAAGATAAAGGAAAAGTTGTTATTGCAGAAGTTTTTTTGGCTCTCAGGGTGGCTGCAAGTGCCTGTCTATCATGTCTTATTCAGGTTGAAATTTTACAGCACTTAGTCGTCATATTACAACATGTTTATTGAATGAATTTAGTTTGTCAAACAGGAAAATAATTGGCTCTCAGTCATGAGGCAAAAACCTCGCTGTGCTTGGTTTGTATGTCATGATCTCAAGCCAAATATTTTTCCAACTGGCCGTTCCACTCAGGCAACAAACACATGTTATTTTATGAGGGTAACGCTCGACAGCAGTTAAAATTTCTGACAAAACTTGTGGCCCTCTTAAAGTAAAATATAATTCGATCAAAAAACCCACACCTAATAGCAACTGATTTACGAGGAAATGCATGGCACCTAAGGAAGAGAATTCACGATCAGTACTTGGTATTTAATGGGTTTATAGGGTAGTGTCCTCTTAACTGATTAAATTCAAAAACTATTCTCGCAGTCTCAAACTTCAAGCAACGTATACTCCCACGAATTAAACAAAAGTCAACTACAATTTACGCTAATAGCATTAGTCTTACTTGCGCACCTGTTTTAAGCGCTGCTTCTTCCTTTTTTCTCTCTCATTTTGGAGTATATTCGCCTGAAAAGTGAAATTCCGTTTATTTAATATTAACATGAATTCTCCCTGAAATTAAACAACCACATATAGATGGAGGCTAGTCAGAAGTGCTTAATCATTACTAGTATTGATTCAGGATTAATTCCGACAAACCTCTTCATTGGGGCTTGGTTTCAACAGTTTCCTTCCTTCATTCCCTTGTTTCTTCATGTTCCCCCTTAATTTTGGGCACGGAGAAAAACGTCCTAAAACATGCAAAACAAAACCAATTCACACGAAGTTGTACGGCTAAATCCTACAGATCCAGATGGCTCTTAAAAAACAATCAGCTGCATTTTTTGCTTCAAAAAAAAAAATCTTACAATATCAGGTTTTTTCTAATTTTTTCTTACATCACTTCATTTTGCTTTACACTTCGTGAATTCCGATTTGCTTCAATTTGCGCGCCATTTTGAATTTGTAGCTATTACCAAGTCCTTCTCGCTTATCATACTGACCGTGATTACTGGGACTACTGTGAATATATTGCGCAAGAACGCCGCATTCTTCCTTTTTTCTGCTCGTTCTGTTTCACTCAGTATTTTACGATACTGCACTGTAACGAGGAATCCTGATTCATCGGCACCATGATTATTTTCAAGGAGCTTATAACCGGTAAGTACAAGACCTAAACCATGTGTGGTCGTTTTGAAAGAGCTATTTTCCCCGAACTGTCCCGAGAAACACTGTTTTTTGAGTTGACGTGACTCGGTATTCCTCATCTTTTGATGCACGAATTTTTTCAGTGAAAGATATATAATCTTGGTGGATAGGCTTTTTAATTGTATCAAGAAGGTCGATGGCCGTATTTCGTCGATTTCTTTTTAAATCACAGTCAGATCGTTCTGTAGAAAAAAATTAAAACGAAGTGGTTAACGATTTCACAGACATCGATCAGTTAAATTTATGAATAAAATTACATATCTTGTTGTTGATGTCACGAACATACTGTAAAGAAAACTTTAAATGTTACTTCGTTGTTGTTCGTTGTATATGTAAGTATTACCAGGGCAGAGAGATGAAAACTGCTACAAATTAAAACTAAAATCAAAGTTATAATTACATACAGGCTTAATGGTGATTTTTGACACGTGATACACTGTGTGCCGTAATCGTGAACTGACAGGCCAAAAAACTGGTCAAGTTATTTTAGTAAATTACTTTTATTAGATTGATTTCTCAAACTGTATATTCCCTAATGCAATGGGAATTTTGTCAAGATAGAGGGGGAAACTTTCCACGAGACCAATTTATGTTTTAGCCGATAGGAATGATTGGTCAGTTGGGACTTTAATTTAGTCCTCAGGTTTGCATTGTGATGTTATTTCCTCACAATTAAGCAAAAGTGGTCTTCATTCTGGCAAGACGATCTAAGGCTTTGCTACACCTTGATTTTGACTGTGTCTTCCCTCAAACATTAACTAGAAGGGAGGAAGATTTTAAGTATAATTAGTGTTAATAATTAGACGATATTGGGGTACCACCTTGTTTTTTAGAATTTTAAGCTTTTATCGTTTTAGACTTGTAAGTAGTAGTAGCGATATGATTTTAGCTGGTGTGTATCCTATTTATTCTTACTTGATTATTTAGACAGGACCCCACAAGTGAAGTGTCGCTTTAAATACTTATCGTGTATAAATAAAGATTATTGATTAATTTACTGATTCTAACAGGACTTATTTTTGGTTGATGATACAGCTGTTATAGGGCACCCCATCTTCAGTATGCAAGTTCTCCACAATGTGCACAATATATTTCTTGTGGTGCTTATAAGGAGAATTTGTTGAACAATCAAGAGCCTTTTGAGTTCGTGAGAGTTAAGTCTATCCGGTGTTGATCATACTTTTATTCACAAGCTGCAATCACTATCCCAAATAGTAGAACAGTTGAATCGCAATAAGTCAAGCCCTCCCTAGCTTGAACCAAAATCAATTATCCCTGGATTTCTGGCACACAAATACTGCAGTTTTACTCTCGGCAATTTCAACCCTCGATAACTTGAACCTCCTGTCAACTTGAAGCTTGGTCACTCATGGGAATGAAAGAGCTGAAGGTTTGCATTATTAAGATTCGACTGTATGGTACTTCTTGAAAATGAATTTTTCTGGAAACTGTGATCATGTGTTGAATGTTTCCATCTCTTTTACAGACGATGAGCTATTTACAGACTCTTACAAATTGAAGGAAGTAGATGATGGTATATTCATTGAAGTGGAATGCAAAGTAAGTAAATTGTATAGTAACATTGATCTTTTTTTTTTTTTTTTTTTTTTTTCTTTTTGTTGCAAAAACCATGAAACCGTGGAATAGGTTTAACTCTTTGTAAATTCTGTCAATTGTTTGGATTACTGGTATCATAAACAGCTAGTTTCCACTCCATTCCATTAACAGAAACTTAATAGCTTTCTTTTGAAAAGTGTTGCAACAACCTTTTTAGCATCTTTTGTGCTCTTCCATCACATTTATCACTTCCTTTGTAACAATGACAAAATGCAAGGCAGCCATTTTGAAATCTGGTGTCCCTGCTATAATTACCTTGCACTAAGTGATTATAGGGAGATATGAAATAATCCTCCACCAATTAGAGAGTGCGTATCTTTATAATCACCAGGGCAGTCTTATTTGCAATGCGAGACATACTATGATACTTAACTGCATGTATTACTGTTTTACATATCTCTTAATGCAACAATTACATCAAAAAAAAATTGTCTTCATTCTTTTGCTCCATGTTTTGAATGGTGGTGTAGTTTGTCTGCCTTCCTTAGCTTTACACAGAATGCACCAAAGTGGATGATGCAATGTTTGGAGGGAACAAGTCTGCCGAAGCTAACGACGAGGATGCTGAAGATTCCTCCGTGAGCGGCATCAACATCGTCATCCAAAACAGATTACAAGAGGTAGGCGTCAGGAAGAAAGAATATCAGAGGTACCTAAAGCTTTATGTGAGAAAACTTGTGGATCACCTTACCCAGACAAAGCCAGATTATGTTGATACATTTAAGAAAAAAGTCCAGCCAGCGGTGAAGAGGATTCTTGAAAACTTTGATGATTGGTCTTTCTACCGTGGGCAAACTGACATCGATTATGAAAATCGAAACGAGCCTGAGGGAATGCTTTGCATCTTGGGATATCGTGAAGATCAAGTGACCCCCTATATGCTGTTTTTCAAAGATGGACTTATTGAAGAGAAAGTGGTAGGCTTTTTGTTTGTTTGTTATGAGAGGTCAACTTTAAAAGGAGAAATTTCTAAAAAACCATACAAATATTATTGTTCTCTAACCTTGAAAAAAAATAAGCAAAATTGTGACATCAAGCAAATCTTGAGATTCCAAAGGGGAACCCAACCATTATAAAGTTTTCGAATTTTTCAAAAAAAACTCATCATGTTCACAGCTACATGCATATTGAGTCTTGGTCAAGAAATAATAAGATTTATTATTTTCTGCACCTTGGAAAAGAATTTGTGAAATTTTGACCAGGACTGCATTTTGGGTTTTAAAGAGGAACCTTACTGGCAAAACTGTCTTCAAACATGCTATTTGATCATGGCTGCAGGCATTTTTAATTTTGCTTAGTAAAATGTGGTAACTTACATGCTAGGTAACAAGATTTTACTCCTTTTTTTCTCTATTTCTTGGAGATGGAACTCCTCTGGAAGGAATCGTTTGTGAACTGCAAATTTAAGTTCAGCATGAGTTTGATTTCAGACCAAAATTGCTCAAGATGAAGTTCAATTACCACCTAATCACTTCCATTTTGAAATCACAAATTTCAGTCTCTCAAATGCATGATTTTTTAGTCTGTACAAATGTTTTTGATCCATTGCTGAGCTGGTTGTAAAAGTTTGCAAAAGTTGGTCTTTCATTTTCCTGCAATTTGATTGGTTACTTCATGTTTTAGTAATTGAAAGCTTTCTCATTTGCTGAGAAAAAGATGCAATTGAGAGTAAAGAGTGGTGCAATTTGTGAATAAATGGCACCCATTAGAGCCACTTAGATTGCAAGGATCACCAGTGATTTCAGTAAAGAAAATCATGAAGAAATAGAAAATAATAGTAAAGAAATATATCAATTAAGGGATTATTAGTTGACCCAATACCAAATTCTCCAAACCAACATGAGAATTGTTTGACAGACAGTAAAGAGAATTGCTCAAGAGATCTTGGGGGTGATAGAGTTAGGGATAAATTTGAAATACTACTAACACTAATGATCTGAGTTTTCTGTCTCATGATTTACAGATAATCGAAATAACCAGGATTTTGGGGTGCAGACTTTCACTCAAACAGTCTTTCCAGCTATAATATCAACTAAGTTGAAATTGTAAATTGGCCACTATAAAGAGTTAAAAAGCTGACATTTTGAGCGTTAGCCCTTCGTCAGAGCTCTGACGAAGGGCTAACGCTTGAAACGTCAGCTTTTTAACTCTTTACGGTGGCCAATTTACAATTTCAACTTGGTTGATATTACCAAATTACCTTGTTACCCCCACTGATGCAGCCCCACAGTTTCTTTAGCAACTTATCCCCCTTCATTTATTGGTCTTTCCAACTATGCTGCCTAGTTTTGTTTTGTTTTGAGTAGAGCCAATCAGAGAAAGGAATGGTTGACTTCAGGATTTTGGACTTGACTTGAAGTGGCACCCTCGTCTCTAAATGTTGATGTAGCACCAAACCTGTATCTTCAATGTTCCTATATTGCAGAAAAAGATAATGAATTTGTTTTTTCTCTCTTGCAGTAACCAAGTCCAGACAAGAATATTATCCAAATGAATCAATATTGCATAAAACTTATCAACCCTCTTTCCACTTGAAGTGGAATTTTTACTTTGAACAAGTTGGAATAATTGTCATCACAACGCTGTGTTGTACACAAGTGTTATGTTCCTCTTTAATTAGATCTCGCCTCTTGCTCGTTTGTAACCTTTACAAAACCATTGTAAAGGAGTGAAAATTTTCTTGTCACAGGCAATTATTTTTAACACCAACAATTGGGTGAAGGCAGAGATTTCCCTTTCCGCAGAGTAAGAATTTTATTGCTTGTAGTAATCCGTGATTGGTTGAGTTGCTGAAATGTACCGAATGCAACATACTTGTTTTCCAAGTGACAGGACAAAACAATAAACATGGCCATTCTCAGTATGACCTGCAGTGTGGTGAATAACTTTATTGGAAGCCCAACCTAGTGTTTAAAACTTGCACATGCCTTCCTTTTCGACCCCGTTTTTTCTGTTCCACAGGGCAGGAGAAAACATACATTACAAGCAAAGTTGCATGCCTCGGTTTCTGTACTGTTGTTAGTATTTCTGTAGATGTTGTTTTGTTTGGTTAAGACCAGAGAGATGGAGATTGCAGAGTGTGTAACATTTTCAGAAGCTTTAAAATTCAGTGGAAGCCTATGCTGAATGAGGTCCAAATGACCTCATGTCCAAATTTCCCACTAAGAAGTACTGGCAGAAGTGGGATGAGATCTCGGCTAAAACGGGACGAAATGGCCTGCAATCGCTTCTAGAGAACAAAGACGGCAGAAAACAACACTATCTGGGCACAGTTGTGGAAAGGGGTGGATAGCGCCATCTAACGGATAAATCACTATCCAACGGTTAAGTTATAGCAAAACGTGGTGCGCTATCCACTGGATAGACTTGCTCACAAGGCGCGGTTTTGAGCGCGAGCCGAGCGGGCGATAGCGAGCGAAAGCGCGGGTCCTACCACACCAGAACAGAAAACCAATCGAACGACTTTGAGAAAGTCTATTCACTGGATTTCGTTATTCACTCACTCGAACAAATGGGGCCAGAAGGTTAGAGTCTATGTTCTTTATTATTTACGGAGTTAAGAGCGGAGCATAAATTTCCATATAAAGCTTTATATTATCTTCTCATAGAGAGCATGGGTAGCATTACCCTGGTCCCAGAGGTTCTCTTCTCTCTACCGGTGTATGAGAATTCGGCGCGAAGCGCTGACCAACGAGCTGCAAAGCAGCGAGCGGAGAGAACCTCTGGTCAGGACCGTTGAGAATCTCACCTTCATTCCACCAAGCTTCGGGTGACAGCCGTCAATCACGCCCCTTTCCGACAACCAATCAGAGGTAATTTACCCCCAGAGGTATTTTAGTTTTTTACTCTGGTTGTAATTCACCAATTCAGTAAACTTTTTGCTTACAATTAGTCGGAAAACAGTGACAACAGATCACAAAATATCTGTCTCTGAGTTCATTTCAGAGGAAGGTTTTTTGCTGTCAATCAAACTATATTTTTTGTCGTTTGGTTATATCGACTAAGTTGAAATTGTAAATTGGCCACCGTAAAGAGTGAAAAAGTTGACGTTTCGAGCGTTACCCTTCGGAATCTTTTAAGAAATAGTGCTCTTCTGCCGCTTTCTTATAACGTCAGTTAGATGAAAACGTTATCCCACATTAGCCCAAAAGATAATTTCACATAATTCGATAATTTTGACAAATTTCAAGACTTGCGAGCTAAATTTATCTCTTATAAACGGCTAAGGGTTATCTTCGTAAGAAATGACAAGTACTCTTTCTCTTCAAACATTTATTTTTCATAATGGCAACTTCGCTTGTTATTGTCAGCGCGCCACGATACAAACCTTCAAAGGTTTAACGTTAATGTCCATTGTTGTAGGTTGAATGGGGCCACCGTTATAATCATTCCCCAAAACACAAATGAACAATAATGTAAGTAACCTTTCTGAGCCCACGATTTCTTTTCCATGACTAGAATAATGGCAAGATTATCTTGCATGTAACATTGAAAAGATCTGAGTCTCTCCGAACTCGTCCTTGTAGGAACGAGATTGCTTAATGGTTAAAAAAAAAAAAAAAAAGGCATATATATATATGGCAAGAAATTACAGAGTAGTGACAGCCCAGAATTTGGTTAATCTTTCTGCTCAAGAACTTACTTGAGTAATCAAAGACAGAATGGCATAGATGGCATTGCCTTATTTTCTTTCGTAATCGCAGATAGAGAATTGAATGCTAATGAGGCCACTTACGGAAACAAGATGCTTTCCCTCCAGAACAAAAGACATTTCTATTACGTAACACAACTTGTGAACCTGTTGTAAAAAAAAAAAGAAACACGGCAAAATATCCTTTTCAGTGATGAAAGGAGTTTGCCAAATCCGCCCCCCTCCCCCGCCCAGTTTTTGGTGCTTGTAGAATTTCTCGAAAGGTGACGTCACAGGATCTCGTGATTATCACGTGTTGAGTTTTTCCTGAGAAGTTTTTGGTTGATGTTTAATGCGTTCAGGAACGTTGTGGAATAAAATAGTTTTAAAAGATTTTGTGAATACGCATAATTTTACAGTGCTTGCTGTCTTCCTTGAATTATCAGTTGGATCCTTTGCCCGTTTTAAGTCCTTATTCATTCTAACCACTCGATCACCAAACCCTTGGCTGTAAAATGGATATTTCATGTGCACTGTACTTTGCCTGACGTTTGATTGATGTTGTCTTAAGTTATAAAGTTGGTAGAGCATTGCATCAGCGTCGAAGAGGTCATCAATTAGAATCCCCTTGAACCGTGATATTTTTTAAGACCTTTCTTTCGGTAACTGCTTTATTTTCATACACAAGTGGCGTGACCACTCTCTTCTTTTACAAATGAACTAAAAAATTGTTGTGATCTACAGCTTTCCTTACCTACTTTACAACACACTATGATCCAGAATCCGCCAAAAGCCTTGTTTTCCTTTCTTATTAGTGAAATGCTCATCTTGCCTTTTTCACCAGGGCACTATCATAGGGCACTGTACAATTTTGGAACTGAAATCAAAACTACCACTTCCCTGATGAAAATGAAATTGAGCTCGACTCTTGTAATAGCACCAACATGCAAATGATGCGAACAAACGTAAGAGCCGAAGTGGATGAGGGCCACTGAACTCAGAAAATTAATTATGAGGAAGTGAAATACCGAGGCCAACCTGTTGACTTATTTTGAGACTGTTCGTTCATTACTCGAAAGCACATTGACGGTCTCAGTTAAATTTGTTTACTTAACATAACGGATTGCATGTGCTTCTCTCCGCAGGCAGAAGGTTGTAGGATCGACTTTAGGCGGTGGCAAGTTTTTTTTCCTTTTTTCGTCTTCCTTTCTCTCTTATTTTTTTCCTATTTCTTTTTTTTTTAATGTATCCTTGAAAAGCATATGTTTTTTTCCCCTTTTTTATTTGCAACATAACCTTTTTCTCAACAGAAATCGGCACTCTACAAGCCATTTACCAAAGCACTGCGTTTGTCTTTCCTCTTCTCCTTTTGAAAATAGGGAAGGCTTTAATCGTTCCAAAATACAGTTCATCCACATTGTGTATTTCGATGATCGAGTATTCAAATGTCAGATCAACAAGATTTAAATATAAGACCTAGAAATACTGAAATGTAGGACACCTTATTTATTCAGGCGGATCGTATGCGCAAGATTTGTTGTTAAACCTTGGTTGAGACCTTATGCATGCAGTCTAAATTTCAGTCATCCATCAGTAAAATTTTCTGGTCTCAAATCTTAGCTGTGGGTTAAATACACGTTACTAAAGGAAGTGGGGCAGGATAAAAGAGGAATGGTCCGAGGAGTCTAGTTGATATGTGGTTGGTTCACTGCAATGGAGTGGCCCCAGATATGGACACAATTGGAATCAACTGGCGTGAAATGAAATGTAAATGAGGATATGTAAAATGTCTATGTTGCATGTTGTTAGAAATCAGTATTGTGTTACAGAGTGTGACAAAATTTGTAATTAACAAAGGGAATGAAAAACTCGGAAGAAAAATGCTTTCAAAGCTTCCAGTGCTCACAATTATTATTAGATAATACAACTTTTGTTCTTACTTACAGTGACTTTGTAATGAACTTCTTGCCCAGCGACCAGATAAACTCTGAAGAGAAAAAAAAAAACAGAGAAAAGATTACGCCTCGCTGTAATGTCTTAATTTCTTATGTTCTTATGTGTCATATTCTGTCTTTTCTTTAACTAGAGACCGAGTCTTTTCAAGGAATCCTGTATTTATTCACTTTCCAGGTCATGTTTTCACTCTATCTGCGGCTTTTTTCAAGTAGAAATCAGTCCCTCTCTAGGCCATATTCGTGATAATTAGCCGAGAAACGTGCTTCCTGACGTGGGCCTTTTTCAGGCCAAAAATGACAGACTCAAAACAACGACTTTCGCTTCAAAAAGCTTGGAAATTGCAAGAAGCGTATCCACGTAAGCGATCGAGAGGTTGGGAAACTGACGATTTCCACCAGGAGTGCCTTTTACTTTGAGCCAAAGGAACGCATTTTGGTGGAATTTAAGACAAACCTATGGTTGAAAAGCCCATATTACTTGATGTTAAATGACAGAACTTGGAATTGTCGTTGGCTCGCCGGAATAAAAGAACATGAGCGTATGGCCATTTTCTGAAAGTTCAGACGTTGGGAGGTGGGTAATATTTCTTTTTACTGGATGTATAGTCGAATTTTCTTTCTTTCACCCTTTAAGCCTTTAACGACTCGCCATTTTTAAAGTCCTTGAAATGCAATAGCGCGCATGCATGATGGCCACGTTGTCCTCGATTTCTGGCCATAGGCGGCCATTTTGTCCTCTAGTGGCAGATTTGCCATTTTGTCCACTTGTGGCAGAATCGGCTACTAGTGCAGAGTACGAGGCACGAAGTTCAAGTCTTACACCATATTATAAACCCAGTGGGTACGGTATCTTACCAAGGTAAACTTCAGGAAAACACGGATGCGTCCTATTGTTTATAGTTGTCATTTTTAAAAGGTCAGTAGTGCTCTAATCCCCAATTCATTTCCTTTTGTGGTTGTAAATGTGTCATCGACGCATTTCCTATGCTTATCCTTTACAGTTGGCTCTTTCGAAAGTAAACGTAGGCAGCTGAACTGGCGTAATTTTTTTGCGTTTTACAAGACTTAAAATCGCAAAAAAAAATACGCCTGTTCTGCGGCCAACTAATTGTTGACGTTGATATCTTCCAATCCCAAGGGTATAGTTAAAATTTCTGTTTTGGGTAAACAGCATTCTAAGTTGACATTCTAGCATTGCGGCTACGGAGTTTTATGCCTCGCCAAATTTACAAGCAATCGAACAAACATGATTATCTTTAAGGACTTATTTACAGGTTTGCGTAGTTCAGAACTTACATAGCGAAAGAAATGAATTAAGTCGCTCTCTAAACGTGACTTCGAACTGCTTTTGGAATATTTGCGTTCTCCCAGCTTTGTTTGTTGAAGCGCCCAATTTTTAAAAACCTAAGAGGCCTAGATTGGAATCGCATCGATGCCTTCTTTTTTTCAAGCCTCTTTTCTGAAATCTCTTTAATTACAGCTTATTTTCTTTGCAGTAATTTTAATGGTATTATTTGATGGTAAGATAACCCCGTTCTTCATCATGCATTCAGATATTAGATAAAAAAAAGTAAAACAAGAGACACTTTATATGCTGTTCTTTAAAGAGGTTCTTTCCCAGGAGGTTATGGTGAGATTTGGTGTGTTTTATTCATTTTCATCTATCTACGTTATCAGGTTACACTTGAGATTTCATGTCGTCCACTGTAATTCAATTCCTCGATAAATCGTAACTTTCACTACTCAAACCAGTGTTCGATTCTCTTCAAGTGATTTTCTTTAACTCGGAATATGTCTCAAGTAAAGCCATTTCTTATTTACTGTCATGGCCCAAAATTTACTCCTTCCCAACCTCGTCCCAGGGTCTCTCATCTTACCGTCTTCCTCTCTCGCTCCAGGGAGCGTGGAGGTGAGAGACCCTGGGAACGAGGTTGACTCGTTCCATCCTATCACTCCATCCTTCCATTCCTATTTTACTCTCTTTGGTAAGTCCGCTGACCCACTTTTCTCCTTAATCACCTTCTTTCTGATTGATTACTTCGATTCGGGTCTAAAGACACTGGAACGAAAAACCATCGATTTGAAAGCACAGAATCTGAGCCGAGCAATGATAACTCAAGCTGAATTTTCCTGAATTATTTCATGCACTGTGAAACGTTTCCTGCTCTACTGAAGGATATTTAATCTTTTTTAATTGGTTTGCAGTAATTCAAACTCAAGCCGGCAAGAGAACTACATATGAGCACTGTGTTCCACCAATCATTTTATTTGTTTCTTACCTGAAATGACTATTTCATGATCATCGGCTAATAAAATAAACCCAAATTGACTCTGACACTGTTTTTTCATCTTTTCCGGGAGACATTTGTCATAGAATGAGATTGAACTAGCGTGAAACGTGACAAATTTGCGTGACGAGCACTCAAACATCTTCGAATCATGGTTCGAGAGTAAATGACAGGTCATGAGTATGGCGACTGTGATTGGCAGTGTTTTTCAGTTGGCACCGCATTTTGAGAATTTTCGCGAAAGTTTTCTATTGCGTTACTTTTGATGGAGTCTTTGCCCTGCCCCGTTTTTCTAAAATATCTTTTATAACCGCTTACGAACAATAATTGTATTCGTCGATCCTAAAGAACTCAACCCCAGGCTCCCCCCTTCTAGCAAAACTAAGCAAGGGTGCCCGTACTAGTTCCCTTGCAAAGTTTAATTAATTTCCGAATTCAGTACTTGCAACCGGCTCGGAAGTGAGATGAAAATGCGTTCGAGCCCAGACCCTTTTGGTGTGCATGAAAAGACAGGGTGGGTCCGACAGCTGGCGAATAAAACTCGAAATATTTCTGCGTTATCAGGGAAAATTGATTGCAATAAAATTACAACCTATTCGCAATGTTTAGAAAGACAACCCCAGCATCGCGAAGCTGAAAATGCGTGCTCTGGCCTAAGGCTCACTTATAGAAATGCCGATTTCTTTTTATCTTTACACACAACAATGGTATGTGAATTGACGCCTGGAGTGTCTAATTGGAAAATTACTTAACTTCTATGCGCACACGCAAGTTGCGTTACCTCGCTAAATTTGATTCGCTCTCTCGCTCTGTTGGAGAAGGAAGCGTAATTTAGTAACAAACTGAACCATATGAGTGGAAAAATAAGAAAATAGGAAGTTATCGATTTTAACTGTAGTATCTGGCAAGTTATGAACCCAGCTGGAGGTCTGGGTTGTATTTGATTTGATTTTGTGCAAGTGATATAATTTGCATATCCAGCTGTTTATCTTTCATGCTGCTTTAACAAATTCTTTGACCACAACGAACAGCAACTAAAATATGTAAATTTTTTTGGGTTTAGCGTCGCTGTTTTCTCTAAAGTGAATTAATGAGTAAGTGTTATGCGCGTGGGTTTGGGTTTGACAGACTTGTGAACCATCCGCGCGACTGCAAAATGCTCGCCAAAAGATTGCTGTTTGTGTACCTCACTTGGCATAGTTGCTTCGTGTTGAGCACAGCAGCAAGCAATTCAACTGTTATTTTGATTGCATTAGGCGGTTTTCGCTGGGATTTCATGTCGAAAGCCCATACACCAAGACTTGACTCCATGGCTGGAAGTGGAGTGAGGGCACACGACGTTGAAAATGTTTTTCCCACGGTTGCCATGCCGAATTTGTACACAATTGTAACAGGTTTGTACCCTGAGAGCCATGGGATTATCGCGAACGAGATGTTTGATCCGGATTTCAACGCAACGTTTGTCAGCAGTAATAACGAAACAAGATGGTGGGATGGAGGAGAGCCAATTTGGGTGACAAATCAGAAGCAAGGGTTTAAAAGCGCCTTGAGTTACTGGCCGGGATTCGATGTGGACTTCGAAGGCTACTCTCCCAGTTTCAGCAGCGACGGTGCGAAATATTCCAAACCGTTCGTTTCTGAGGACAATCTCATGTCAGTTAAGGAGAGAATTGACGATGTTATGAAATGGCTAACCATGGAAGCGCCTCCAAACTTTATAGCGATGTATTTCGCGGAACCTGGCAGAACCGGTCGCAAATATGGTCCGGATTCGCCTAAAACAAAGACTGCCATTGAGGAGAGCGATTCCGATGTTGGCTATCTCGTGGAAAAACTGCGAGAGGCTAGCTTACTGGATAAAGTCAACGTTATATTTACTTCGGATCATGGTTTGGCAGCGCACAACACGAGTGATTTTGTAAACTTCGATGACATTGTAAACGCAAGTAGTTACGAACTTTGGGCGGGAAATGGAGCATTTTTCACCCTGGAACCTCACCCAGGGAAAGAGAGTTATGTGTTCGACAGTTTAAAGGAAGGAGAACAAAAAAAGGGGCATTTCCTAGTGTACAGAAAAAAAGAAGTACCGGAAAATCTACATTTCAAAAGTAATCGAAGAATTGGCTCCATCGTGGTATTGATGGAGAAAGGTTGGTACGCTCGTAGCTCTAAATTGTCAACGAACTTGACGGAAGGTATGATACGAGGAGAACAGGGTTTCTCTACTACAGAGAAGGACATGCACCCATTTTTTATCGCTCGTGGACCAGCATTCAAAAAGAACTTCACTACAGGCCCGTTGAAGCTCCTAGATATTTACCCCATGATCTGTGAGATTCTGGGAATTGAACCTGCGCCGAATAATGGATCCTTAGCCGAAGTGAAACAGCTTTTTGGAGAGCCTTTTGCCACACCCACTACACCTGGAGACACCAGGGTGTCAACCGAAAGTTCCACACCAAAACAGAAAAATGGAAATAATATTGTGAAAATTGTCGGGTTTGCGATTGTCGGATTTGCAGTTTTTGTGTTCCTGGTTGCCTCGATTTTATTGACGGTGCGCTGGTGCAAGCGGAACGAGCAATCCAAAAAAGCGTGGATGGAAAGCGAAGAGACGCCTGCAATTCAAGCCGAGGAAACCCAAGCCTTACAAGAAGATCACGACGAAGGTGTGACAGTGTAATTAAAACCGCAGAAACATTGCCACGCCTACTTTCGAGAATTAAGATACAACCTCAACACGTTTCATGTTTGTGTTTCTGAGAGTGTAAAAAGAATTAAGCGCAAGAAAGCTGGTATTCTTTACCGCTAAGATCAGAATTTTTTTGGATTAAAACGGATTTCGTTTTCCAGGATTATCGGCGCTTTTAGAATAAACGTCGACAACTGACAATAAATAACAATCTTGGAGAATGATTTTTGCTTTAAAATGGTGTAATGAATCATGCAAATTTTGCAGTGATCCCTAATGAACTTGACAGTAATATTTTTCGTTTTTCTTTAGGTGACGAGAATTTATTTGCTTAATGTGTGTTTTAACATGCTGGATAGGAAACCTTGCCAGCAGGGTGGACTTTAGAAAAAGGCTATGTGTACATAGAGAGGAAATTATGAACAGAGTGAAAAATTATCATTTTGATAGAGCGAGCGAGTCAAGTCGCTCGCTTTATTTGTAAGTAAAACCATACACCTGCCACTTGTAAATTTAAAAAACAGGAATTTCGACGTATCATTAGAATTATTCTTGCAAGCCAATGATAAGTCTGTTTTGATCGGCCTTTTGTGGTGATATCCGTGAAAATATTGCATGTTTCTAAGAAAACAAACATGTATGCTTTATTTAGTACATGTATCCCGTATTGTGCCAAATCTTGCATAGGAAACATTACCCCATCTGTAGTATGACGTCCTGGGATGAAATAAATCAACAGTATTTAAATGTAACCATTTATGTCATAAAAATAAATTTTCAATGTTGGTTGCGTTTATTTTGAACATGAAAAATCGATGGCATGCTAAGTTGGTCATACAGATTCCAATTCAAATGCACTTAATATAAATAAAAAATTAATGATGTAACCAGCCTGTCTTAAAGTTTGAAATTCACATGAATTTACGAATGTTGTGAAACGAACATTATCATTGTCATTGTCATTGTCATTGCTGTATGTGATTTGTTGTTGTTGTTAGCTGATTTTCGGATATAAGAAGATCTATTTTATTTATTTCTTTTCCTGCCTATCAAAGCTTAATAACATTGTAGGAATTGAAGAATATTAAAAATAAATATTCATTATCGTAATTGTTTTTATTTTTATCATAACCTGACATCAATATTGATTTCCCTCCTTCACCACTTGTACATGGCAAATTAATCAGTGGAAATGTCAAAACATTAAAGCAATTGTCATTTAACCTTTTGTTAATTGGCTTTAATATATAAAGGAAGAACGGTTTTGTGCAACAAGCGCAAAGAGCCTGAAATATTGTCACGCAATGCGTGACAAGGTTATGAACGGTTCCCAGGTCCCTATGTTCAGTAGATGCTGGGGGACTGAGTAAACAGACAAGAATGCCTGGGGATTTTTGCCACGACTACATCAACTACTTATCGCCGCTTTATCGAAGCCTCTCTTCTCTTAGAGGTCGAAATGCCAAAGATGTCTGTGAATAATATCCCTCGTGGACCATTGCTGATACTCGCAGTACTGATTATTGCTGTTTTTGTCCTTCGTTCTTTTTTCGGTGTTCCTAATTTCGGAAGGAAGTACAGTGCAGTTTTAGACTACAAACATGCCAGACCCACAAGGATTAAAATGCTTACTTTCAATATTTGGTTTTCTCCGGACAAAATGGCCGAAAGAATGGAAGCACTCGGAAAAATCGTGCAAGATCTTAAACCTGATCTTCTGACTTTTCAAGAAGTTACGCGGGTCAACTTAGGATTACTGCAAAAAAAGCCGTGGTTTTCTCAATACCGCTTGACACCTACCGATGCTGCGAGACACCCTGGCTATTTTGTAGTCATTTTAAGCAAATTTCCGATCGAAAAATGGCAGACCTACGCGTTTGAGGATTCTCCATTTCAGCGTGAACTTTTGACAGCAGAAATCAAGAGCACTTTGCTACCGAAGACACCGAAGTTTGTAATTGCAACAACTCATTTAGAGCATTCTGGTAGATTTTCTAAATTGCGAGAAAAGCATTTAAAGGAGACAATGAAAATGCTCTCTTCGTTTGAAAATGTTTGTGTAATGGGTGATATGAATCTGGAGCGTCAATTTGATGGTGATGTTGTACTTCCTGCGCAGTGGATTGACACATGGCTTGCCGTCCCTGGACATACAGACAGTAATGGTTACACTTGGGATGAGAGAAGAAATCCGTTCATTGTGAAAGAGAGGGAATCCACTTTGAAGGATCGCCTGGATCGTGTCTTTTGCAAACTGTCAGACTTTAAAGTGAAAGAAGTGAGAGTTGTGGATGATAAAATGACAAAATCTGGTGTCCTACCCAGTGATCATTTTGGTATTTTTACTGTTCTTGAAACATCAAAGGAAACCAAACACAACAGAAAGAGTTTCCAAGCTGAAAAGGAGGTTTATTTCAAGAGATCGTCAGGCCGAGAAGAGTTAACTAAGTTGTAGTTCACCAAAGATGGAAAGGAAAAAGTGAGATACCTTTTTTTAAAGCAAGTGGTGCTGTGTGGAGTTAAGGTACAGGTAGCCTTGTTAGCCCACAGTTCTTCACCCTTGTGCTGGGTGAAAGGACAGGGCAGGGCAGGGTCGGGTCAAGGACTGCCTGAAAATGTGTGGGACACAATTAATTGTAAGAGAGAGTTTTACTTGTTTAAACTAAACTTGCTCAGTTTGTTTACTTCATGTGTTACCAGTCCAAGCAAGGATGGAATGAAATGTGTGTTCATATCCCTTAAGAAGACCACTACTGCTTCAAGATACAGAGATTTTTATGGAAAAATGTTTTTTGTCTAATCACCAGCCTAGGACAAAGAAAAAAAATTCTTTGTGTGCCTAAATCTAATACATGCACAATCATTCAGCTGTCACACACAGCTTGAGCTAAGAGTCATATCCATGCCTAAAGAAACAAATTTTGGTAAAATACTAAAATATAGCCCAGTTACAGGATCACAAAAGCTTCATGTGGTCTCAGACCAATATCTTTATTGTTACAAACTTGTACACCAAATTATATTTGATTTAATCCTATTTTGGAATATTCATATTTGTGCAATAGTTGTAGTAATTGTAGTTGTAGCACTACAAATCAAAAGAAACTGGAAATCTTGAGAGAAGAGAAGTATCAAGGCCTTATGCACAACAGAGCACGAAGAAGACTCATGATGATGATGATGATGGAAATCTTGATAGTATAGCGAAGCATGGCATTTTGAGTTGATCTTAACAACCAAAAGCAGTTTCCTTTTAATAACATTCTACTTTTGCTCAGGCCAGCAATTGGGAAATTAAATGGAAATCTTGAAAATTGAAGGGTGTCTGAGGTAATAACAATTAACTTTGCTACTATCACTTAAAGTAACACAATTGTTTGCATATTTGCATGCACCATCAAATTTCACAGTAGTTTGGAAACAATCTACATACTGATTATCACAACAAAACATTTGGCAGGATTATCACTACAACACAGTACAATATTTGGCAAAATTCCCTAACTCATTTTTCAATAATTGAAATAAATGAATAAATAGCACTCCTATGTAACACAATAAATGTACATCCCTAATAATCGTACCAAAAAAAAAAAAACCAGCACATCTTTTGATGTATCTCCTTGAAATAAACACTATGATGTCTTTGTGAAAACTGGAGCCCAAAGAAGGGTGAAATTAAATTTTACAAACAAGACACAAAACAGAATAACATAATCCATGTCAGTATCTAATCAACTGTGTACCCACCCTTCCCCTGACCAGACCTTTGCTGTAAATTGTCATCAGTTGATTGCTGGGGGAGGGGAGGGAAAGGTGTGCATTTGCTCAGACACTCACCTTGCTCTGTTAATAGTGTGACATTTTTTCAATTTTATAAATTTTTACTTCCTGTGCAATCGCATCAGTCATAATTAATTTTGGGTTTATGTGCAGGGTATAACTAACAATACCTTTCAAATATATTATTCTGTTAAATTTTCAATACAAGAGAAAGGATTGCTCAATTGGTTGAATCATCATTTTGTTGTTTTTGTTTCATTCCCCATGCATGTTACAGTAAATTTTAGATACCGGTATATGTATACCTTGTAAAATCAACAATACCTTTCAAATATATTATTCTAGTGTATTCAATACAAGAGAAAGGTTTGCTTAACTGATAAGATCATTTTTTTTTGGTTTCAATCTGTATGACATAACTAGCGATCATTCAACACCACACACTACCAAATGTTATTGGCAATGACTGCCTATACCTCTACAAGATCCTCATTAAAGTAAAATTCTAACACTAAATGCTGTGGACAGTGTCTTCTCTTGCCTCTTAAAACAAAACCATGGGTGCTTCAGAGGGATTTCTCAGCATGTCAATAGATTCCTCAATCTTCTTTTGGATATTTTCAAACTTGTCGCGACCTCTATAATCAATTTCCCCTCTTTCCCATGCCTGTTGATGTGTGATTTCTTGAAGCTCTGGATTTGAATCCCAATCAACATGATCTGAGATGTAAATATCTGACACTCCATCCGCTAATCCCTCCACCGCCTGAAAATGGATTGAAAAGAGATTGAAACAGCCTTAAAAACAGCAAATGGCTGAATGAAAAACTTGTAGGAAAGAAATGTAACAAATTCAAAGTCAGTGACTTAACAAACAACAAGAACATCACAGTGAAGCAGTGTTCTTTTGTCCCCTTTACATTGTAGCTGTGATCAACTTCTATTCTCAGATCACGTTTCCTAAGTTTGTTATTCCTAAAACTTTACAATTATCTCAGCTATTAAAGCAAAGATAAACCCCTGAACAATCAAGAGCTCCTTCAGTTGTTCATTGTCTCCTTTATTCTCTTTATTCTTTGACTGAGCATAGAAATTGTCCATAGAATTTAGAAGCTTGCAACTTTTTTTAGGGAGCCACAGGTTACCAGCAATATTGTCAAAGTTAGCGTCAAAAGTAACACTTTTCTGCAACTAATACTAATACTGTCAATGTTTGCAAAATTATCAACATTTCTATTAATATTCAATTTGTTATATGACTGTGTCTCACAAGGACTGGGAACTACTGAATTCACAAATTTGATTGGCTGAAATCAATATTGAAAGTGGTTTAGATTTTCCCATCTAGACTGGCATCGACTGGTCTAGAAAAAAAAGGTACAAAAAAAATAAAAAATTGGCATACAAGACACAGCGTTCGGCCTGTACTGGTGACCTCAGTCAAGATTCTCCTGTACAGACCTCCCACTTGGTTAACAAGAACTAAATAAATTTCACACATGATAACACCTGTTATCAAACTGTTAAGAAATACACCAAAGCTTGATTTATCAGTGCACTTTGATGCTTACAACACTCTCAATAAACCCTTCACAGCCTAACATCGTATGTTTATTCTCCATACTGTTCTCTATACATTTCCTAAGGTGCTGAGGAGAATTTGTTGAACAATCATGAGCCTCCTCATTACATATCATTTCCAGGGTTCTTGCACTTTTTCAGGAACCCAATTCAAGGACTTCCCAGCACTTTTTAGGTCACTTTCAAGGACTTTGGCTCCCAATTTCAATGACTTTTTGCCTTAAATTGGTTATTTTTGATGCACCAATCAGGTACAAAATATATAAAAAATGTGTCAAACATCATAATCGGACACAGGATTTGAAAAGAAAACTAATTTTCACGATTTGTGCTAGAAACTTACACTTTCAACACCGAAAACAAAATAAAACTTTGCCTTTGATTCATCTGCACTTATTTTCAAGGACTTTTTAGAAATGTTGAACGACCTGAGCCTAAATTCAAGGGTTTTCAAGTCCTTGAAAAAAAATTAAATTCAAGAACTTTCAAGGACTGTGGGAACCCTGCATTTCCTTTGTTCTTGTGATCTTACTGTGTGATTCAGGAGTGCTATTGTACAGTGAAATTAGATGCTGGTCACACCTTTGTACATAAATACACCATTAACTCAGTGACTTAAAAATATCTACAAATGTAGTCCCTCAGATTTTGACACTTACTGATGCATTAAGTTTGTACTAAAACCTGAACAAATAAAGAGGTAAGATTTATTTGTTGTGAGTGGAGCAAGGCAGCATGCAGAAGAGATTGCAAAAGAGAAATTTCTACTCAAGATACAGCATAAAAGAAATGCAATGCAAATAAACATGTTTCAATGCAGCCCACAGAATAAATTGTACAGAGTACAATTTTTTGATGTGTACAGAGTACAATTTATACCAAAGTAAAAACACACAAGCACAGTTTGCACAAATAATGCCTACATGTTTAAATGCTGGAACATCTTGGTAACCTTGAGACGTCTCTGTCGGCCAGCTGTGAGGTGGGGGATGGGGTGGTTGTGGATGGTTTTCCTGTGGGGAGTGGTGTGGGGATTCATGATGTTGAGGGGGTGGCTGGGGGTGATGTGGTGTTTCATAATGCTGTGGGGGTGGGGGTATGAAAGGTTCATGTTCGAATTGATGTGGGAGTGGAGTGTGTTCAAAATGATGCTGAGGGGGGAAGTGAGGTGCAGGCTGGAAATGATCACTGCATGATGAGTCTCCACCTTGGCCACCATGGCATTGCTAAGCAAGACAAGTAAAAATGGTCCTGAGAATGATAAACTCATTGGACAGGCGGCAGTGAACAATGCATGATACATGTATGAATGAAAAGAGATCATCTTGGAAACAAAGACAGCAATGCAAAGTACTAACTTAAAACACTCTGACATGACTATAATAAAAAAAAAAACTGCACAGTCTTCTTGGTAATGGTGTCGTCCCCCTTGTTTTTCATTTGTTCTAACAAGACACTGGATAACAAATTGATGACAAATACATGAGATTTTGTTAGTAGCAAAAGTGAATCTTTTGAGTGCTTTGTCAGGGTTACAGGTGACACTTTCTACTGAATGCTTTGAACACTGTTTTAAGTGATGTGCTTGAATCAAATTATTTACAGTTTCAGTGCATTTTATAGTTACTGTAGTTAAATTTTCATGTATGACAGTTGTAATTATAGTGAAAGTTTTATGTATGACAGTTTTAATCAACAGTTATTTGTGTATGATTAGTCTAGTTCTTGCATGAGATTTCATGCACAGCTTAATTAATGACCAACACATTTATTGTTAATAAACCACTTGTATAAATATTCCATCTATACATGATGAACATTACAACTACTGACATCCTCTTTCAGACAAGATGACAAACTACAGCAAAACCAAACTACACCAAAATGCTCTAACGAAGGTCTAACGCTCAAAATGTCAGCTTATAAACTCTTTACAGTGGCCAATTTACAGTTTCAACTTAGTTGATAAAACCAAATTACCTTGTTACCCCCACCAATGCAACACCACAGTTTCTTTAGAAACTTACCCCTTTACACCAAAACCAACACACATTACTGGGACAAGCAGAAGTTCCATTAATAATTTGACCACAGATTACTCCACTTACTCTCATTTCAGGCCGCACAAATGTGACATAAATATCCCACCATAACTGCAGGAAGGTTCGCTCGTGGGGAACATTACCCTGGCTTCCAGATGGCGTGTACACAGTGCCTGTTTCACTGTTATATGTGTGGTGCCAAGGTTTAAGGGGGCCAATAAAGTGCACTATTTTTACATCTCTACCAAACCTGCAAAAAAAAGAATCGTTCTTTGGATTAATACTTCTAATAATGCTTCAAACATTGGGTTGGTATTGGATTGGGTTGAGAAAAAAGCTGGAGAGATTTTCCAGTAATCTGACTTTTTCAACCAATTCTTTCTCTCTGTCTTCTGTTTTGGTTTAACATCCAACTGTTATCACTAAGGTAATAAGAATGGCTTACTTGAGGAAAAGAAGAACAACAATGGCTGACCACAGAGTAATAATATTAATAATAATAATAATAATAATAATGACAATAATAACAGTTTTTATAAAGGGGGCTCACATCACTGAAAAGTGGTATGCCATGAGGCCGTGTAGAGCATACCAGCTCTGACAAAAGCCATCAAATGCTTAGCTTTCCTCTTATATCAGATGTCCATGAAATTTTCATGTTGCTGAGCAATAGGAAGAGGACACGTGTAATTTAAAACATTTGTCCTTGGTTGCACCAAAGGATTAATAATACTCAACAATGTTCCTTACTGTTGGAATGCTGGAGCATAAGTGTAACTGGCATTGGAATTCATGTTATAGATAAACGACAAGTGCCTTGATATGTCTGCCGTTCTCCAGTTACTGAAGAATGAATTCAGAAGTCCTTGATCTCCCCCTGTTGTTGAGAAACAAATGTGAGTTTCGCGCTAAAATAATGCAAGTGTAACATAGTGTGATACAAGGAATATAGGAAGTTCATATATTTTGAACTGAGGTATTAGATACGTCTGATTTTCGCTATTGCATAAATAGCGCTATCTACTGCGAGGATCGTGCATCATACGTATCTAATACCGCAGTTCAAAATATATGAACTTCATATATTCCTTGTATCTCATTTATCACTTTCACGGGTTTATTACGAATCAGCTTAACGGCCTGCTCCCAGTTGGCTTGTTAGCTCAATTGGTAGAGCACTGCACTAGTATCGCAGAGGTCAGTGGTTCGAGTCCCATACAGGCCTGATTTTTTTCAGGTCTGATTTTCGCTATTGCATAAATAGCGCTATCTACTGCGAGGATCGTGCATCATACGTATCTAATACCGCAGTTCAAAATATATGAACTTCATATATTCGAAC